AATCACACATGTTGACAGCGCCACATCTGCCGCCCCTAAATTGTCGGTTTCTTGTTTGTATTTGCAGCCAACGACGACCAGAGGCTTGCGTGGTATCGGGACGGCCAGCATGTGCTCGTGAAGCAGTCACAAGGCCAGGGGATCATGGTGTCGGGGACGATAATCCACAACGTTGGCTTCTTCTCGGCGTCGCGGGCACAGATCCAGGACGCGGAGGGCAACCGCAGGAAACGATGCGCCGCCTCAGCTGCCGCGAAGCGACGGGGGGAAAACGTGAAGGTGGAGAAGTTCCGCCCCATCGACATGCTTCATGAAGACGAGCATGGACAGTACTGGTCCTACCACCTCTTCGAGTACGGCAAGAACAAGGAGGAATACTGGACCGGGATCAGGATGCTGGACCACATGTCAGACGTGCTCGACATGTTCACAGTTCTCTACCCTGAGCACAAGCCTGTAGGCCTGTTCGACTGGTCGTCCTGTCATGACTGCATGGAGGTCGGCGCACCGTCGGTGAAGAGAATGAACTTGGGTGTCGGTGGTGTGAGGAACGGAGAAGAGCTTGCGCCGATGGACCCCGTGACCATCCTCGAAGATACCCCGAACCTCCCAGCCGGCACGGTACAGCACTTGGTGTTTCGGAGGGGGGACGATCCCCCCTTCCACTCCCCGCATCTCAAGCAGGCGCAATATGTCGGAAAGTTGAACGGAATGCGGCAGATTTTGTGGGACAGGGGGCTCCTGGTCAAAGGCATGAGTAAGACGGGGGGCTCGGGCGAAAAGCAGGACCTCAGCAAGAGCATGGAGCACGTTTTGGGAGAGCAGAAGGACTTCAAGGAAGTTGATTCTAGTCTGGTGCTGTTGATGCAGCGCCACGGGGGGGCCTGTCTCATGCTTCCTAAGTATCACTGCGAGTGTAACCCCATCGAGCTTGTTTTGGGCCGAGCGAAGGACTGGACTCGAAAGAACTGCAAATTTTCGTTGGAATGCTTGCGCAAGAACGTGCCGCTGAGTTTTAGACCAGAGAGGGATAGACAGGCTGTTTCAGTAGTCCAGGGCTATTGCAAGAAGGCGTACACACACGCCCTCGTGTACCGCGAGACGCGTGTGCAAGGGTCTGAGGGCAAGAAGACGTACAAGAAGTACAAGTCGCACAGGCGCCCGACCCCGAAGGAATGGAGGCCGTAGAGTCGATGGCGCATTCTTGTTCATTGAGCTGTATTTGTTCAGTTTTTTTCCGTGTTTCTGGTGGGAATGTTGTACAAAAATGGAACATTTTTGTTGAAAACGGCCAATTTTTGTGATGTATGTACGCTAAGGTGCGGTAGAGGCAATTGCATAGTGTTTGAGGGCGTTCCTGTGCACGTGTGGGTGGTTTGGTGCGAAAAAAAAAAAAGGATTAGCAACATTTATGGGGGAAAAGTTGCTCTATTTAGGGCTAATTTCGTGGGTTCGAGACCCGCCGCGAGCATCTGCTTTTTTTTTCTCTTTTCTTCCTTTATTTTTGGCGACTCGCTACTCTTTTGCGCCTTGCCGCGGGCGTTCCGAAGCTATTTTTCTTTTTGTTTTACTCGCTCTTAGTCAAAAGTTATGGAGGGACAACCAAAATCGGGTCATTGAAAATTACCACTTTATCGTGGAAATAGGTACACGCCAAACGCCAATACGTTAGTCCGGGTGTCGGGTGATTCGTTGGCAAGGTTCTCGGAAAGCACCGTATGCTAACGGATGGGAGGTGGGCGGCATCGTTGTTTTTCTTCTGCTCTCCAAGTTAAAAACCGTTCCGGTTTCTGCTCGGTACCTTCTGATACCCGTCCAATTGGCGCGGACCCCTTCCGTGATCACAGGACGACTACCCAAAGTGGGACAAGCTATGAAATATCCAAGAGGTGATGGCACATATCAGGCAGAGGCCAAGAGAGACTAACATAGACGCAAAAGCTATTCCAACCCCCAAAAAACAACTGCTTCAGGCCCCAGACAGTCAGACGTCGCCGGCGACACATCATCGAGCAAAGGAGAACCGTACAAATTATCACTCAATCAGAGGCTGTAGCGGTCGCTCCGCACACGATGCTAAACAAATTGCAACCTGCGGCGGGCGACAGCCACTCTGTTGCTCCCACCCGAGAAAACAATCCAGCCCCATGATCACTTTCATACGAAGTACGTTATATGCTTTGCTCGTTGCGCTCTTCGAGTGAAAAACACGTCATCAGCTGTGTGAGCTGTTCCGAGCTTGGGAAACGTCACTGATATCATAGCAGCTGGCAGCTGACTCACACCAACTAATGCTTTATTTTCATCTTGCGTCACGCCCTAGATGATACTGCAATACTTCAAGCACTGTTTTTGCTCTCATGAGCCCACTCAGGAGGCGCGCCTTGGGAAAATATGGAGAACGAAACAAGACGGGTGTGCCAGGCATACCGTGTGCCTTCCGTGTTGTATGGTGTGTCAGCCCGTGCGTCCGTGAAGAGCATTTGGCCTTGATCCCGGCCTAAAGATGTTGCGACAAATAGTCAAACCATTTGTGCTTTTTAAACTATAATAGTCGAGTTCAGCTTGCGACCACGACAAGGGACACCCGTCAACAACCTCCCACCCCCTCCTTGCCTGCACGGAAACTGCCACAAGGGGTCCATCGTAAACAAGAACGGGAAGAAGGAGTAATAGAGGAGAGCTGAAAGAAGCATCTCAAGCCCCGGGCGCAACATATACAAGAAGATCGAAATGCGTAGCACATATTTATCGGGTGTTGCGGTTGTAGCCAACAAGCACCAACCATCCGGGTAGATTGAAACTCTCAAATCGATATAGTACCAAACACGCGGAACACACAACGCAACGGAGCGACACAAGTGAACACCCCCCCTTAAGATATAAGTTAATATACGACGATAGGATGTGCCTGAGAGACTGACCGAAATTTCCTGGAAATTTCTTCCCGAGACATCTGAGAATTAACCCGATATCTCGGAAAAAATGGCAAAAAAACGAGGGAGACGCTCGGAATTTCGACACAAAGATCGGAGAAGCGTGACTTGTGGGATCACCCCACCCATCCCATCCGACCACAACGACCGAAACTCTTGCTTCGAGCAGGCAAGTGAGGTCACCCCCTCTCTTTACACAGTAGTGCGCCACATGCATGCATGCACACGGACGGACAGAAGGAAAAAGTAAAGAAAAACAGGGCGAGGAAAACGAAGAAGGCCACAGCAAGACCCCTGAAGAACAAAACTAACAAACAAACGAAACAAAAGAAACCAAAACCAAATAACCTGCACGAAAGTATAACGGGGGGGGGAAGAGTGGCAAATGTTCGCCCGCTCGGTCTCATCGTCGCAACAGAATCAAGCAGAAATGCCCTCTTAAGAAAAAGGCGTGAAAACCTACCGACAAATGCAGACCAAAACATCCGCCGTCCGCTCTGCATCACACACCGGCCGCTCGACTTCCAAGGAGAGAATATATATATAACACATATATATTAATATCACTTTGGTTTTCCAAAAGGCAATATGGATTACGGCGCGCGTAAGGCGTTGGCGGCGGGCTGCAAGCCGGCCTGCCACAAGAAGAAAAAATCGGGACAAAATGATCCAATCCACCACGTTCGAATAAATACTGCTGGGGAGAACACAAACACATGTCTCGCCGCATAAAAGATACGCACCCTCCGAACACAAAAACAGAACACATTTTCTACAACCAAAAACGCCAAAATTGTCCCGCGACCCACGCCGCCGGACACGAAAACAGGGGGACTAAATTGTAGGGGAAGGGGAAAAAAAAGCGTAACATGATTCCCCCCCCCCCCCCGACGGCTGCCCTCTCAATGGCAACAACAGCAGAAGAAAACGACAACATTAGAAGCCACCAGAGGAATAATGGCCGCGCCCCCACGCCCCCTCTCTCTACAAGCCGCGCACATATGCGCAACAGCATCACACCAATCTCTCTCGCTCCGCCGAGGAACAACAGGCAAGGGGCGGCAAACAAGCAAGATCGCCAGGTTATTCGCCCTCTCGCGGCAACTAGCTACAAGCGGCACGCCGGGGTAAGCGAGCGATTACCCCGCGCCCGCTCTCCCTACCCCGGGTTTCCCCGGAAGATGGCGTCCATCCATTTCGCCCAGAAAGGCGCGGTTTGCCCTGCGAAAAACAAAGAGGACCCACAGCATGAGGAAACAGAATGAACAGTGGATTTTTTTTCAACGTCGAGACAACATGCATCAACGGCAATACGCACTTCCGGGCGCGTTCTTGCAGAGTTGTGGATCGCTGTTGGAAAGCCAAAAACAAATGAACCGGCAGAAAAACCAGCAACGAGATTCACGATGACGCCACTTACACGGGGGTGGCGGCGGTGCAAAGGGGTGAGCCTAAGGCTTCCGATGAATGAGAAAAAAAAAAAAGAAGCGGAAACACAGAAGAAAACAAGCCACGTAAAAAAAAAAAAGCGAACCGGGCGCGAGTGTGCAAAAAAAAAAAAAAAACATACACAACCCACTTTCGAGCGATCTTCACTGGGTTTCGAAATATGCAAGCTATAGAGTCTCATACCTGCGCAGAATATTCTACATTTCGTGTGCATCGGTTTCTACATGCAACCCGTGCGTTTTCCAAGGCCGCTTGCACAGCAATGAGAAACAAACATAAAAAAAAACACAATCCTGTCCTTCTCAACCGTACCTGCAACGTCCCCCGGTATGCAAAACATCCCCGTTTGTCTTCGGCTCTGGATGCCGCCGGGGCCATCGTCCGCCTCCACGCTGCTGTCGTAATTTCGGTACACGTCGTCGTCGTCGACGACACCGCCGCCGCCGCTCCCCGTTCTCCCGGCCGCCGACTCGGACCCTCTCCTGCCCCCCCCGCTCCCGCCGCCTGCCCGTCTCTCTCTCGGCGCACCGGGCGTGCAAAACAACGTCGAGCGCCGTACATGCCGCCGCCGCTGCCCGCCCCCCCTGCCGCCGCCCCCCCCCCCCCCCCCCCCCCCCCCCCCCCCCCCCCCCCCCCCCCCCCCCCCCCCCNACAGCTTCGGGCTCCTCATCGCCGCTCCGCTGCTGCCGCTCGAGCCCTCGTCGCCCACGCTGCTTCCGGGCGGGGCAAGGTCCGCCGGCGCACCTTCGGCGCCCCACCCGAGGTCGACCTCTCCCGCCGTCGAGTCCTTCGGCGGTAGGTCCGCAGCCGTCGTCGGCACGATCCTCTTCCTCAAGAACGGCGTCGATGTCGTCGTTGTCGCAGCGGCGGCAGCGGCGGCGGTTGCGGACCGGTTGTACTTCTCCGATTCCACGGGCCCGCCCCCGCTCCGCGCCGACCCGCCGGCCGTCCCCGAGGCGGCGACGTCTTCATCGCGCGGTGGCGGCGATGGTACCCTTACCCCTACCGCTCCGCTGACCCCCCCCAGGAGGACGTCCCCCGCGCGTGGGTGCGGCGGCGGTAAGCTTCCCGCCACCGAGTTGGGGTTCGGGAGAACGCTAGGGCTTGTCCCCGCCGCCGCCGCCGCCGCCGCCTGCGCAACGTTGTTGGGAGACGCGGACGAAGCGGCGCCCGGCTGCTGGTGGTCGCCGCTACCGCCGTGCCAGAGCGCACCGCCGCCCCCGCCTCCCCCTCCCCCTCCGCCGCCGCCGCCGTCGCCGCCCCCTCCCGTGGGAGTGGACCCGAGAGGAACGGGCAGGCCGCCCAGCAGGCCGCCCCGCAGCCTGATCGAGTCCCGCATCCTGCGCCCGGCAAGGCTCCCCTTGACGCCTTCCCCCCAGAGGTCCACCGCGGCGCCGGCGCCGCCGGTGGCCGAGGGGGTACCCCCCGGGGACAGCGGCGCTTCCGCCCGCGCCCCCCCCCCGGGCGGCACCTCCTTGGACCATTTTCGGGGCGCCGGGGCCGTTGCCTCCGCCCCCCCTCCCCCCACGGCTAGTGACTCCCCGCTCATGACCGACGGTAACCGGCCGAGGGACAGCGCACGCGCGCTCCCGCTCCCGCCGCCGGCGCGGCCTAGTGCCATCGCGAGCGTCGACTCCCGGCCCAGCGACTGCGGCCGACAGCCGACCCCGTCGGAGGCCGCGGCAGCGACAGCACTACCGCTGCCTCTGCTGTCATTGCTGTCGTTGGCCACGCCTGTCGCGAGGGCCGCGACGGTCTGCCTGTCGAGCGACTGAGGCCGGCTCAACGCCGCCGTCTCCGCCGTCGAAGACACCGAGTTGCGCCCGCCGGGCTCCATGCTGCTGAAGCGCTCCCCTCCTCCCCTCGCCCCAGCAACCGCCGCATCTCCGGCCGCCTCCGCCTCCACCGCCCGCCCTGCAACCCGGCCGTCTACTGCCACCCGCTGCTGCTCGTCCTGCTGCTGCTTCTGCTGCTGCAGTAACTGCTGCTGCTGCTTCTGCTGCTGCAGTAACTGCTGCTGCTGCAGCAGCTGCTGCTGCTGCCGTCGGAGCGGCGGAATGAGCTTTTCGGCGGAGTCGGGCACCCCCGACACCGGCGGCGACGGCGGCAAGAAGTCCTCTGCGACCACCGCCTGGATGGCCGCCGCGCCTTCACCCTTCGCGATGCTCTCCACCATGTAACCGGAGGTGAGCTGGGCGGTCGACAGAGCGTCGAGGGCTCCCCCCGTCGACCGCATACCCTTGCAAAAGTCGCTTAACGGCAGGAGTGGTAGAAGGATTAGAGAGGGGGCGGGTAGTAAGTATGACGGCGATGTTGGGAGGGTCGGTATCACGTGCTTTTTTTCCGTTTTCATGTGAAAAATGTGCGATGCGCTTCGGGTCGCTGGAGAAACAATAACACAAAAAATGGTTCTATCAACGGCCAAGGAAACGGAATCTCTTGACCACGAACAAATCTTGAGATACTCTCGTGCGTGATACCGGACCAGGAATCAAAAACCGTCGAGTATTGGACATGGCGAAATCGTAGGGCAAGTGAGGAAGGCAGGTTCTTAATGGTCAATGGAGAGGGCAAGACCGTCGAGTACATGGCCAAGGCGAGACCCTCGGGTGAGTAAATGGAGAGGGCAAAGCAGGAAGGACCCCGTACGTCAGGTAGAAACTGTAAGTGGCAGGAAAGAGATGTCGGATACAAGAACACTCACTCGAAGGAGACTTTGCCCCTGTTGTCCGTGTCGAATTGCTTTATCGCTGTCCGTACGTCCTCTGTGCTCAGGTCCGACCCGACTGTCATCATCAAGTCCTGATTCCCAGTTGTGAGAACATCAAGACAGGCGGCGGGGGGATACGACACGCGAAAAAAATAAAGTACAACAGACGTCGTGCGTGTGTTTATTGTTGGCATCGACCGCGCTAACCGGCCGACCAGTAAAAACACACCAGTCAAAGTACCACTGAAACGAACCACGCGTCACGATCTGAGACCCCGTGAGGGTGCACGTGTGTATGAATTTCGTGTCCGTCTCATATTCTGGCATCATACTATACCGACGCCTCCACCGACAACAGACGCCCTCCCCCTGCGCGTTTTCCAGCAGAGTCAGCCGAGGAATACCTGCCGCCTTGCATCATGCGTACGGACTGCCTACGCAAAGAAAGCAAGTTCGTTATGAAAACAGAAGCCGGGCAAGGGGGGGCACGTAGACAGCAACCCTAACCCCACCTTAGCCGACATTACACTATCCAGTCATGTTTGCTTACTTAGAAAGACCTGCGTGGACTGCTCGGACAGCAGTGCGCAAACGCCACCCGGTCCGTACGTGGCGGAGAGGAACGGAACGGTTCTCTTACCTCGTAGTCCAAGTAGCCGTTGTTGTCATGGTCCAGCCTCTCGAACGCGTACTTGAGTCGCCGCGTGTCCAAGTGTTGCCTACGAGAATAGCGCAAGTTTTTCCCGTGGAAACGGAAGGGTTAAGTGGACGATCGGCACGTCGTTGGGGAAGGTTATGGGCGGGGGGGTCGTGCTTCCAAGTGTCGCTTACCAACCGACCGCAACCACCGTTCCCAATGCCCGGCCAGGTTGACCCGTCACGCACTACAAAGGCGGCTGCGATGGAGTCGGTAGGTGACACGAGAGCGAGCGGACCCCAACAACGCGGTAGCTCTTGAATATGTCGAATTTCGACAAGAGAACCACAAAAGCAAACAAAGGCATCACAACATCCTACCAACAAAAACGCCACCACCAAGCCATGTGAATTCAGTAGACACTTCCATGATGGAAACATCAGCTGCTCGATCAGGTGAGGTTCGTGAGGGTGAGGCCAGGATCGTCGGTCGCCCTCTGCGACGCACACGGAACGCGACCGACATGGCTTTGAGTTGTTCCCAGGACCGCACCGGATTCATCCGCGCCCCACACACAACGACTGCGGTCGCGGTGGTCAGGGCTGTGCCCTCTCCCGCAGACCAAGTTTCAGGAACTCAATGATCGCCTTCGTCATCGGATGGGTGGAGACGAATGGTCGCTCGCGTGGGCCCGAGGCAGCGTATCTCGTGAACGCGGATGCGCCCCGCATTCCAGCACACATTATGTTTTATCTGTGTGGTGTGATGCGGGAACACCCGTGATGGCGATTCTCGAGGGGGCACGCCTCCGGGCGCACGCGAGCAATGAGCAACCATCCGTCTCTGCCCATCTTCTCATCTATCGTCGACCAAAAGGTGATCAATCGGTTCCTGAAACTGGGCTTGCGGGAGGATACAGCCCTGGCAACGCCATACCAGTCGTTGTCGGGTGTGGGCGAATTCGACGGTCCTGGAACAACTCAACAGCGTGTCGGGCGGCTTCAGTGTTCACCACACAACGACACCAACAACAAACTGATCACCTGTTGAGGGCGGCGGCCGTAAAGTCGGTGTACGAGAGCCTCCCGGAGGAACCGATATCCAGCCCCTCGAAGATTTCGTCCACCTCCTTGCGCTGGAACTGGTTTGATCTCAACAAGACGGATCGGAAATCCTCGATGGAGATCTCTCCGCTCCTCGCGATGTCCGCCTGTAACACGTTTCGGAAAAAATGCATTAAGCTCGTGTCAATCAAGCGCCCACACATTCTACCACATGGCAGCAACAACCCGCTGTATCCGATGTCCACCTGGTACGTGTATTAGACGTTTCCGGAGAAAATAAGGCTTGTGTGCACACACATCTTTTCGCATGCGAACAACAAACCGCTGTAGCCGTGGGATTGTCGAAGAATCAACACCAACAAGGCAAGAAATACTATCACGATTTCACGAGCGAAAAAAAAAAAGAAGGCGGCAAGTAGAACGGGGGACAGACAGCACACAAACACCGCCCTCCTCCAGCAGCGTACGGGTGGAGACGTCACAGACGAGCAACAGCAGCAGCACCAACAACAAGGACAGACAGCGACCACAAAAGAACAAAATAGAGCCACGACCCTTCTCCGACGACTTCTGATCCGAGCACACGGGGGGAACTGAGAGGGAGACAAGACATATGTATAGAGAGAGACAAAGCTAAAGAGACAGAGAGACAAACAGATAAGACAAACCGAGAGACAGAGAGAGAGAGAGAGAGAACGACAGAGGGAGAGAGAAAAGTACAAAACAACGAAGGAAAAATATGACCTCGGCTCCAGACCAACCTAAACATAGGTTAGACAAAAACCCGCCAAAGATCCAGATGACCCCCCAAAAAAAATCCGTTTGTTCGTACCTTATGGAACTCAAACCGTTTGTTCGTACCTTATAGAACTCCTGCTCGAGATTTCTCATCTCTGACGCCTCCAGTGATCTCGCCATAGGGTAAAAACCCGCCAAAAATCCGGTCAAACCCGTTTGTTCGTACCTTATGGAACTCCTGCTCGAGATTTCTCATCTCTGACGCCTCCAGTGATCTCGCCATAGGGTAAAAACCCGCCAGAAATCCGGTCAAACCCCCCGAAAAATCCGTTTGTTCGTACCTCATGGCACTCCTGCTCAAGATTTCTCATCTCTGACGCCTCCAGTGATCTCGCCATAGGGTAAAAACCCGCCAAAAATCCGGTCAAACCCGTTTGTTCGTACCTTATGGAACTCCTGCTCGAGATTTCTCATCTCTGACGCCTGCAGTGATCTCGCCATACGTTAAAAACCCGCCAGAAATCCGGTCAAAACCCCCCCGAAGATTCCATTTGTTCGTACCTTATGGAACTCCTGCTCGAGACTTCTCATCTCTGACGCCTCCAGTGATCTCGCCATAGGTTAAAAACCCGCCAAAAATCCGGTTAACCTCCCCGAAAAATCCGTTTGTTCGTACCCTATGGAACTCCTGCTCGAGATTTCTCATCTCTGACGCCTCCAGTGATCTCGCCATACGTTAAAAACCCGCCAGAAATCCGGTCAAAACCCCCCCGAAGATTCCATTTGTTCGTACCCTATGGAACTCCTGCTCGAGATTTCTCATCTCTGACGCCTCCAGTGATCTCGCCATACGTTAAAAACCCGCCAGAAATCCGGTCAAAACCCCCCCGAAGATTCCATTTGTTCGTACCCTATGGAACTCCTGCTCGAGATTTCTCATCTCTGACGCCTCCAGTGATCTCGCCATACGTTAAAAACCCGCCAGAAATCCGGTCAAAACCCCCCCGAAGATTCCATTTGTTCGTACCCTATGGAACTCCTGCTCGAGATTTCTCATCTCTGACGCCTCCAGTGATCTCGCCATACGTTAAAAACCCGCCAGAAATCCGGTCAAAACCCCCCCGAAGATTCCATTTGTTCGTACCCTATGGAACTCCTGCTCGAGATTTCTCATCTCTGACGCCTCCAGTGATCTCGCCATACGTTAAAAACCCGCCAGAAATCCGGTCAAAACCCCCCCGAAGATTCCATTTGTTCGTACCCTATGGAACTCCTGCTCGAGATTTCTCATCTCTGACGCCTCCAGTGATCTCGCCATACGTTAAAAACCCGCCAGAAATCCGGTCAAAACCCCCCCGAAGATTCCATTTGTTCGTACCCTATGGAACTCCTGCTCCAGATTTCTCATCTCTGACGCCTCCAGTGATCTCGCCATACGTTAAAAACCCGCCAGAAATCCGGTTAAAACCCCCCCAAAGATTCCGTTTGTTCGTACCTTATGGAACTCCTGCTCCAGATTTCTCATCTCTGACGCCTCCAGTGTTCTCGCCACCACCCCCAACGCGACGCGCTGTCGCAGCGAGGTAGGGTTCACATCACGCCAGCGTCGAGGCGCAAAAGAAGACAATGGACAAGGTTGTCAATCGGCGCAACGGAATCGCTTCTCCGTGGTAGGTAGAGAACAAAAGATTGCCAAACGTCGTCAATCGGCGCTTCTTTTTCGGTTGGGTTAGGCGTTCGTGTTCGTGCTACTATTATAGTGTTGGTGGCGCCGCAGATGATGGGTGTATCATCGCTCGTTGTCTGTCTCGGCAGCTGAAAGAAACGTTTCTACCGCCATCGTGCTAGACCAACCCAAGCCGTGATGAGGAGGACATGTTGCAATGCTTTCCATCGCCGTCGCTGGCTACCCATGCGCGAGGCACCAGCCATCCCGCCACCCTAGTAAGGATCCAACAGCAAAAAAAAGCCACACGGACAACCACCAAGAAATACAACAAACACAAAAAAAACACGTGAAACCGACGGCACAAACGCCACCCCAAAATCGAGGCACCAGCCATCACCCCATTAGAGAAGGAACTCAGGCAAGGTGGTCGGTCCATCAGACGTCCGATCGGTCAAAATAAACCGAAACAGGGCGTTCTACTACGGGACAAGCTTTACGATTACATGTACATCTACCGCAGCGGTCAACAGCAACGGTGAACAGGGTGCTACTGGACAGGATTACATCAACACACAGCGGTTAACAACAACGGTAAACGAGGTGCTAGCGAACAGGACAGGATTGCATGAACACGGCAGCAGTCAACGGTTAAAAAACAAAGCAGGGTGCTACAGAACAAGCAACAAGACTACACCTACACAAATCACACATGTCAACGGCACACTCCAAAAAAACGGCTTGCGCGAACCTTCATGAGGTTGAGGTTCTTGAAGTGCATCAGGTTCTCCACCACTTTCGGGCTAAGCTTGGCGTTGTTCTTGGTGCTACGCGCCTTCGTCAGCCACGGGTGATGTTGGGCCTGGACGTCATTCGCCGTTGTTGTTGTCGACGTCGTAAGTGCCGTACAACGGCAGCGGGGGATGGACGGTAAGCGAGGACCACCGGGCGGGCTTTTCGGTACCAGCTAAAGGTCACAAAAAAAAAAGAAGCGTCTTCTCTATGCACAGATGTTGGTCGGTAGGTAGTCACAACCACGGCGTATGCTATGTTTTCGCTTGTCACCAAGAGCGGCCATCAACAGCGAAAAAGAACAAGTGCTGGATGGAGGTCTGGATGGTTACGTTGGGTGAAGAAAATAACGTCAGCGTCAGAACAACAACACTGACAACGACGACGATGGCAACGACAACGACAATACTCACGACAACAACAGCGACAACGACGACGACGACGACGACGACGACGACATCGATAACAACATTGACGACGACGATAACAACAACGACAACAACGACGACGATGACGATGATGACGGCGACGATACCCACCTGCTGTGCCGTCAATCGCTTCTGAGGATCCTTCTTGAGAAGTTTCTGGATGAAGTCTTTCGCATAGCTGCTCACATTCTTCCACGGCTCCTCCTCAAACGTCACCTTACTGCAATACAAGGACCCCCCCCGGGCAAATGCAAGGCCAGCCAGCAAACGGATACAAACATTGTCAGTGGACTTCGAAAAACACCATACAGACGGAGACAGGCGGGCACGAAGGGACGACAGGCAGGATCCAATATCTGGGTTCAAGAGACTTGCCCAACAAGAAATTAGATTCCGCGCAGCGGCTCCTGTGCTACAGCATAACAGCAGTAGCCCTGCAGTTGAATGGTCTCCATTCGACTTGTGCGAGTTTGATTTCCACGTGCAGGTGAGATTAAGTCGAGAATACCGGCGGAAAATCGAGACATTCGGCTTTACTGCTGCTGCTGCTTGCTGCTGCTGTACAAACAGATGATGGCCGACCCCCGAAAAACGGTTTTTCACCTGTATAGTATTTGCTCCTTGAGGCCCTTGAGGTTGACTGATCGGAACGGAGGGAACCCTGCCAGGAGGCAGTACGTGATGACACCCATGCTCCACCTGTTTTTTTTGGGTCGGGACGTATTGAGAAAGGTTCGACAGGCCAAGAAAAACGCGCGCCAATCGACGGGACATATTACATGATGCAACCATAAATACGCGGTTGATAATCCCTGGGCGGGTGACCGGGGGGGGGGGGGGGGGTTCAACG